AAAACCATCATGCCCACGACCAATTCGGCCACGGCGTTCGAGTTCTGCCCCGGGTATTCATCACGACGATCCCTTTGGCGGTGCAGGCGGCCAGGTCGACGTTGTCGTACCGGCACCGGCGCGAACGACGATTTTCAGTTTCTCGGCGGCGGCGACTACTTCGGCCGTCACTTTGTCGCTGCGGATAATCAGCCCGTCGGCATCTTTCACGGCCGCCAGCAGGTCGGCCTTGTCCGCCTATTTTTTCCAGCAAGGCCAGTTCGTAACCCGCCCCTTCAATGATTTCGCGTATTCCGTCGACCGCCGCTTTCGCAAACGGCTTTTCGGTAGCTACCAATATCTTCATAGTTTCTACATTAATTAACGATTGAAAAACACGGCCTTTTTCGCCAACGTAGGTCGTAATGTCGTAACAAGGCCCATAACTTTCGTTTTTACCGATTATTTACGTGCATTTTTTCGAATTCCCGCATACAGTCTACCAACGCCTGAACGCTTTCGATCGGCAGCGCATTGTAGATCGACGCACGGAACCGCCCCCAGACGGTGTCCCTTGATGCCGACCATGCCTTTGCCTTTGGCGAATTCGAGGAATTCGGGAGCCGGTCGGCGTATTTTTCCTGCATCACGAAGCAAACGTTCATCAGCGAACGGTCTTCCTTCACGGCCGTACCGACGAATACCTTGCTGTTGTCGATCGCGTCGTACAGCAGCTCAGCTTCGCCCCGTTACGTTTCTGAATCTCTTTCACGCCGCCGATCGACTTCAACCACTTCAGGGTTTCTTTCACGACGTAGATCGCGAATACCGGGGGCGTATTGAACATCGAATCGTTGGCGATGTGGTTGCGGTAATCGACCATCGACGGAAGCGGACGGGACACCTTGCCGAGCAGGTCTTCGCGAACGATCACGAACGTCACCCCGGCGGGACCGATGTTCTTCTGCGCGCCGCCGTAAATCATGCCGATTTCGAAACGTCCCACCGGACGGCTCAGGATATCGGAACTCATGTCTGCGATCACCGGCACCGGCGAGTCGATATCGGTGTGGTATTCGGTACCGTAGATCGTATTGTTGGGTCGTAATGTGCAGGTAATCCAAATCGGTCGGGATCGCATATCCTTTCGGAATATAAGTAAAGTTTTTATCCTCGGACGAGGCGAGCACCTGCACTTCGCCGAAATTTTTGGCTTCCTTGATCGCTTTTTTGGCCCATACGCCGGTGTTCACGTATCCGGCCTTCTTTTCGAGGAAATTGTACGGCACTTCGAAAAACTGCGTGCTGGCGCCGCCGCCCAAAAAGAGGATCTTATAGTTGTCGGGAATATTCAGCAATTCGCGGAACAGGGCCATGGCTTCGTTGTTGACAGCCTCGAAGTCTTTGGTACGGTGCGAAATCTCCAGCAACGACAATCCGGAACCCTCAAAATCCAAAATAGCTTTTGCCGCATTCTCAATCGCCACGCGCGGAAGAATCGAAGGACCTGCATTGAAATTGTGTTTTTCATAGTTTTAAGACATATTAAGTTTAGTATTCGGAATCGGAATTAACAGGTTCCAAAGTTATTAAATTATTTCCAAAACACGCAAAAAAAACGTATTTTTAATCGGCTTGCGAGCTCTTTATATTTTTTTAACCCATTTTTAAGCTACTTTTGCAGACCTCATCTAACAACGCATCCCGATGATAAAATCCATGACCGGTTACGGCAAAGCCGAAGCCGTCCTCAATCACCAAAAGATAACCGTCGAAATCCGTTCGCTGAACAGCAAGCAGCTCGACCTGACGGTAAAGGTTCCGGCCGTCTACCGGCAAAGCGAATACGAAATCCGCAACCGGATCGGCAAGCGGCTCCAGCGGGGAAAGATCGACGCCTACGTCTCTTACGAAATAACCGGCGACAGCGTCCGGTCAACATCGACGGAAGACCTTTACGGCTTATTTCGGGCAAATCCGCGAAATCGCCGCCGAAAACGGGATCGACTGGAACGGAAGCGCGCTGGACTCCGCCGTCGTACCCGCCGTCTTGCGGCTGCCCGAAGTGATCCAGAACGACCAGCAGACCGTTTCGGAAGCGGAACCCAGCGCTGAAACGGTGCGTCGAAGAGGCGGTCGACCACATGGAACAGTCCGTATTCAGGAAGGCACGATCCTGATCGCCGACCTGTTGCGCCGAATCGACCGGATCGAACAGCTCAAAGAGGAGATCGTCCCGTTCGAAAAGGCGCGCGCCGAGACGATCAAACGCGCATCCGCGAAAACATCGAATCGCTCGGCATCCCGTTCGACGCGAACCGGCTCGAACAGGAGATGATCTATTATATTGAGAAACTGGATATCACCGAGGAGAAAGTACGACTTCAGAACCATTGCAAATATTTCCGCGAAGTAGCCCGCGGCGAAGAGCTCCCGGCCGCAAGCTCGGCTTCATCGCGCAGGAACTCGGCCGCGAGATCAACACGCTCGGGTCGAAAGCCAACGAAGCCACGATCCAGAAAAAGGTCGTCGAAATGAAGGACGAACTCGAAAAAATCAAGGAGCAGGTATCAATATCCTTAAACCATCGCTCCACAATCCGGTTACGGCCGGTTGCTCCAAACCGGAATCGTGTCCCGCTGAAAACGACGGGAGTCAGGCCGGTATCGACATTCACCAGGTCGTATACGGAGTAGTCGCGGGTTTGGCGGCATAGTCCTCGACGGCAACGGTATGTCCGTCGGCAGTAGCTACCCGGGCATAAAACCAATGTCCCGCCCGTTTTTCGAAAGCCAGTGCGTCGAACGATTCCGGAGTGAACCGGTATTTCACCGCTTCTTCGGAAGGCTTTGCTACGGAAAGCAATACCGGACCGTAATAAACCGACGTACGACCGGCCATGTTTCCGTCCCCGACCCAGTAGTGGACGCGCATATCCAAATCGAGTTCCACGACGTCGCCCGACCTCCACTTTCGCTCCAACCGGTAATAATGTCCCGGAGTTACGCCGCTGCACGGTACGCCGTTCATCCTCACCGAGGCCGGGACGACCACACGGGATTCGCAGGTTCAGTCCGAAACGTTCGGCGCGGCGGGATCGAGCGTAATCCGTACGGAACCGCTTTTCGGGTAATCGGTTTGCTGCACGATTCCGATCGGATGCCCTTTCGGCGTAAGCGTCCGGACGTTCGACTGTCCGTATAATTCAAATAATATCCCGGTCGTCGTTCAGCACGCCCCACTGGGTAACTGGCTCAGGCCCCGGTTGCCGCTCGCCTGGCAACAGTTCATTTCGCGCCCTCCCTCATAACTGTGGGGCGCCAGTTCGATCTGCGAACTGACACGCTGCCCGTCGGACGAGTTCATGTAGACGAACTCCTTGTCGCCCAACTGACTCCCCAGCGTAGCGTTGAAATACGAAAGCTCCAGTTCGTCGGCCACGTAGGAATTTTACTCAACTTCAGGTACTCGGTCGAAAAAGTCATCCAAGCCACCGTATTGCAGGTTTCGCTGCCCGCGCCGTAAATATCGCCGGTAGCGCCCTCGCCGGTTCGAAACTACCGGTATTGTGGCGGTCGTGGCTCACGATCCCCACCACAACGACTCCATCGCGTCGGCATAATCCCGGTTGCCGGTTACTCGGTAGAGAACGGCCAGCGTGGTCAGCGTATAGAGGCTTTCCCAGCGCTTCTGCGCCGAATAACAGAAAGGGGTCCCGGCAGGGACGACTCAAGCCAGTTGCAGGACAACGTACTGTTCGTATAAAAATCATGGTAAGGAAGCGTCCATCGGTACGGACAATGTATTCGGCCGCTTGCAGATAGCGCGGATCGCGGGTCTGTTCGTACAGCAGGGCGAACATGTGGCTCGCGGCAAAATTGCATTCTCCCCAATTCTGCGAGGCGAAGGTCCGCTTACCCTGGATGAAATAATCGTACAGGCAATCGGCCGCCCGGCAGACGACCTCCAACGCCTGTCGGTCGCCGGTCACCGGTACCATTGATACAGTCCGTACAGGCAGTGGTAATGCCCCCAGTATCCCATTTTCAGGAGGATTGTCGAAACGCTCCCGGTCGGACCAGGGGCCCAGGTATCCGTCGCTGCGCTGGGAACGCGCCAGCAGTTCCGTCATCCGCCGACCGACGGTCAGCGTAGCCGGGTTCCGGGTAGCCAGGTAGGTCTGCGCCACGCCCGCAAGTATCTTACCGGGAAATTCACCGTGCCACATGCACTTGAACAACGTATTCGAATCGGGACGCAGGAACGCGCCGAACAGGTCGGGATTGTTTTCCAGCAGCGGAACGAGCCACGTCTTTTCGTTCGCAGACAACCGTTCGCCGACATGTCCTCCGACTTCGAAAGAGAGCGCCTCGTTACGCAGGATATGGGCATCTCTTCGCCCGAAGCGGAAAAAACGGCGCAAAAAATGCCGAACAAAACAAATGACGCAGGTATTTCATAGCAAAATAAAAACGGGTTAAGAAAACGGTCTTTTTACAAGATAGACGCGCTATACGAAAAACAACCCGTTCCGCAGCAATTCCACAGATTCCGGAGCGCGAGATACGGTTTTTTTGACTTTTCGGTCAAAAGTAACTACATTTGTTTCGAAAATCCGGCAGAAAGTTTTCTGTCGAAATCCATCGAATCCATCAGCCGGCGTTTCGGAATCGGACGTCGCGCCAACACAACTCAGGACACATGCAAACAGTCTCCGGAAAAGTACTGATTTTCTCCGCCCCGTCGGATCGGGCAAATCGACGATCATAGGCCGTCTGCTGGAACGCTTCCCGCAGCTCGAATTTTCGATCTCGGCGACCAGCCGCGCGCCGCGCGGGACGGAAGCCGACGGACGCGAATACTATTTTCTGAGTAACGACGACTTCAAGGCGCGGGCCGCCGCCGGGAGTTCGTCGAATGGGAAGAAGTCTATGCCGGAACGTGCTACGGCACGCTGCGCAGCGAACTGAAACGTATCTGGGACAAAGGACACGTGATCGTGTTCGACGTGGACGTCAAAGGCGGCGTCAACCTGAAACGGATTTTCGGCGCGCAGGCGCTGTCGGTATTCGTCATGCCGCCGTCGGTCGACGAACTGCAACGGCGGCTCGAAGGACGCGGCACCGACTCGCCCGAAACGATCGCCCGCCGCGTGGCGAAAGCCGAACAGGAACTCGCCTTCGCGCCGCAGTTCGACCGGTGGTCGTCAACGACTGCTTGGCTACCGCCGTCGCCGAGGCGGAGCGGATCACCGAAGCGTTCATCGGATAACGGGCCGTTCCATGCAGGCGGAAACGATACTCTATTTCGGGTCGTTCAACCCGGTGCACCGGGGGCACGTGGCCGTGGCCGATGCCGTATTGGAATCGACGGAAGCCGAAGCGCTTTGGTTCGTCGTATCGCCGCAAAACCCGTTTAAAGCGGGCAAAGAACTCGCCCCGAAACCGACCGAATCGAAATGGCGCGCATCGCGCTGCAAAGTGCCGTCCATAGCGACCGCATGGCCGTCTCGGACATCGAATTCCGCTGCCGAAGCCGAACCGCACGATCCGTACGCTCGAAAAACTACGCACGGAATATCCCGCCGGAAGTTCAGCCTGCTGATCGGCAGCGACAACATGGCCGGTTTCCCGAAATGGGTGCATTCCCAAGAGATTCTCGACAGATACCGGGTGCTGGTCTATCCGCGTCCGGTTATCCGACACCGGAATCCGCCCGGTCGGACGGCTTTACGATCTTAACGAATCTCAAAGAACTGCCGCAGGCGGCGACCGACGTCCGGACACGGATCGCACGGGGGGAAACCCCGGAGCGGAACTGCCCGCGGCGTGTGGGAATATATCAAAAAACACCGGCTTTATGGATATTCCGCAGGAACTGACCGATGAAATAACAGCGCTGAACAGCGCCATCGAGCAGCGGCCCGACGACGCGAGGCTATTGATCCGGCGCGGCAAATTGCTACACCGAACCGGACGATTCGACTGCGCGCTGAACGATTTCCTACGCGCGAAGCGACTCGTCCGGACAACCCCGAAGCGGACGCCTACATTGCGCTATTGCGCGAAATTTTCGCCTTCCGTCACTTCGATTTGTACAATCCGTAACCGGAGTTCCGGGCGAAAACATTATCTTTGCGTCGTTTCAACTCAAACCCGGATTTTATGAAAAACATCGCACTGATCGCCGGAGGAGAATCGTCCGAATGGCAGATCGCACTCGAAGGAGCCTCGCTGGTCGAACAAAATCTCGACCGCACCAAATACAACGTCTACAAAATCATCCTGCACGACGGCCGCTGGAACTACATGGACGAGGACGGCGTCGTCTCGGAACTGGATCGCAACGACTTCACGATCGAAGTAAAAGGCGAAAAGATCAGACCGGACTATGCGCTGATCCTGATTCACGGCACCCCCGGCGAGGACGGACGCCTGCAGGGATACCTCGACATGATGAAAGTCCCCTACTCTTCGTGCGGATTCGTCACATCGGTCATCACGTTCGACAAATCGGCCTGCAAACGGGCTCTCGCCGGAACAGGCATCGACCTGGCGCGGGAAATTCTGGTCGGCAGGAATACGAAAATCGACCCGGCTGCCGTTGCCGGCGAACTGGGCCTGCCGCTGTTCGTCAAACCGAACGCCAGCGGCAGCAGTTTCGGCGTAACGAAAGTCAAAAGCGCGGATCAAATCCTGCCGGCGGTCGAGAAGGCATTCGCCGAGAGCGATCACGTGCTGATCGAGAGTATATCCAAGGACGCGAAATCAGTTGCGGCGTATTGATCGCCGGCGGCCGGGAATACCTGTTCCCGATCACCGAACTGGTATGCGAAACCGAATTTTTCGATTACGACGCCAATACAAGGGCCTTTCGAAAGAGATCACCCCGGCCCCGCTCGACGCGGAGATCGTCCGCAAAGTGAACGCGATGACCCTGTCGGCCTATAAAACGCTCACTGCCGCGGCGTGGTGCGGATCGATTTCATCGTCAAGGAGACCGCCCCTACCTGATCGAAGTCAACACGATTCCGGGCATGAGCGCGCACAGCATCATTCCCCAGCAAGCGCAGGCGATGGGCATGACCGTCGGGCAACTGTACGACCTAATTATCGAAGACACTTCAAAACAGGCAGAATGATCCAGATCGACGACAAAATCGTCAGCACCGACCTGCTGACCGAAAAATTTTGCTGCGATCCGTCCCGCTGCAAAGGCGCCTGCTGCGTGGAAGGCAACGCCGGGGCTCCGCTCGAAGCCGAAGAGATCGAAATCCTCGAACGCGAATACGAAACCTACAAACCTACCTGAAACCGGAAGGGATCGCCGCCATCGAACGACAGGGATTCATGGTCGTCGACCGCGACGGCGACTACACCACCCCGCTGATCGGCGACGCCGAATGCGCCTTCTCGTTCGAGGAGAACGGGATCACGCTGTGCGCCATCGAGCGGGCGTACAACGAAGGTCGCACCGGATTCGTCAAACGATCTCGTGCCACCTCTACCCGATCCGGGTCGCCGTATTCGGCAACGGATCGGTCGGCCTGAATTACCACCGCTGGAACATCTGCAAAAGCGCCTGCCTGCAAGGCCGCCAATACGGCGTTCCGGTTTATCGCGCGTTGCGCACGGCGATCGTGCGCCGTTTCGGAGAACCGTTTTTCCAGGCGCTCGAAGAAGCGGAATCCCTGCTGAACCGACAGAACGATAAAAAATAACCGCCCAACGACCATATAAATATAATAAAAGCGTATAAATATTTGAATTAGTTTTTTATTGTTTAATTTATGAACGGGTTTCTAAATTCGTTCATTATGAAAAGTCTCTCCCGGCTGTTCGTGTCGGTCTGCCTGATGCTGGCGACTGATCTTTTCGCACAGATATCGGATTCGTCGATCCTAACGACGATCTTTTACCGTCCATCGAGTCGTTTTTCCAGCGCACGGCACGCCAGCATCAGGAGAAGTTGTGGCTTCATCTGGACAAACCCTACTACGGGGCCGGAGACAAAATTTGGTTCAAGGCATACCTCGTGGATGCGACCGAGCACAGGACGGACACCCTGTCCAACTTCATATACGTAGACATCGTAGACCGGAAAGGAAAAACCGTGCTCACAAAGAAAATAAAGCGGGATTCGTGCGGTTTCGCCAACAACTTCGAGATTCCACACGTATTCCCCGCAGGGATTATACGCTCCGGGCATACACCGGATGGATGACGAACTTCGACCCCGCATTCTTCTTCCAAAGGAACATCCGCATCGGAAACTCCCTATCCGGACGCGTAAACGCCGCGGTAACATACACCGATCCCAAAAACGGAACCCCCCAGGCCATCGTGCGATTCACCGGCCCGGACAACGAACCCTATCCGGACGTAAACGTCCGGTTCGAGGTGTTCGACCGCAATGGCAAACGAATATCCGGAGCGCAGCAGAAAACCACCGTAACAGGAGCCGTATTCGTAGACCTGCCGCCCGATTCCATACGGCAAGGAGGGTACGTAAGCACCGCGATAGACCAGGGCGAGCTCTTCTTCAAAAAAGAGTTCTTCTTTCCCGAGGACTCCGTGCGCGTGGCCGTAAAGTTTATGCCTGAAGGGGGAGACCTCGTGCCCGGCGTGCCGCAGATCGTCGCTTTCAGGGCGAACGATCGGACGCACGCACGGCCGAGGTCGAAGGCGTCGTAACGACTAAGGACGGGGATACCGTCGCCCGATTCGCCAGCGAGCACGACGGAATGGGATCGTTTCTGATCATCCCGAAGACAGGGGAACGCTACGTTGCGACCGTGGCGGCGCGCACGGGGGATACGCTGCGCGTAGAGCTCCCTGAAGTCGACGACGACGGGTATGCGCTCGCGGCCGTGCAGACCCCGGACGAAGTCCGTTACCGGGTAAACCGAATCCGGACAAGGAGTTCGAACCCATGACCGTCGTCGCGCACGTCCGTGGAAAATGCATCGGAATACAAAACCTGAACCCGATGAATCCGACCGGACGGTGGAAGACCGATTCGATACCCGAGGGAATACTCCACCTCGTGCTGATCGACAGCTCGCTCAGGACGCGCAGCGAGCGAATCCTGTTCGTGGCCCATCCGCACGACCGGGAAAGGTGGGAGGCGGCCTCCGACAAACCGCGCTACGAGCCCAGGCAGAAGGTCGTTATCCGGATCAGGCTGACTGCGGCTGACTCGACGCCGCTGGGGGCAGACTGCTCGGTCAGCGTGACGGACAGGAAAACCGTCGCGACCGATTCGCTCGGAGAGGACATTCGCGCGAACCTGCTGATGACTTCCGACATACGAGGATATGTCCGCAATCCGGGGTATTACTTCCGCGACGAATCCCCTGCGACCAGGCATCACAGGGATCTGCTCATGCGTACGCGCGGGTGGAGAAGGTTCGACTTCGCGAAGATCGCAGACACCGCCGCGTTCAGGCCCGAGCGGTTTTGCGAGCACGGGCAGTTCATCGCAGGACACGTGACCGGAATGATGGGAAAGGACGCGCCGCTGCCAGGGTGACCGCCGTAGCCCTTACAGAGAAAACGTGTTCGGAACCGCGGTCGCAGACGAACGGGGAAACTTCCTGATCGACGGGCTCGACTTCCGGGACACCACCCTGTTCATGGTGACGGCGAAGACCAGGAGGGGAAAGCCCGTGCAGGCGGTTGCCATCGAAGATCCTATCCGAGACCTGCCTTCTTGAGAAAGAATCCTTTCGAACCGGAAACGGAAAAAAACGCAATGAACCGCTATCTCGAAAATACGAAAAAAGGTCTTCTCGATTTGAACGGAGAAAAGGTATACGAACTCCCGGGGCAGTCGTAAGGGCTGTGGACCCTAGAAAACCAAAGGCGAACAGTTACGGTACGCTATACGATACAACCGCGCTCGCTAAGTACAAACCAATGTCCCTGTATAACTACATGATGTTCTTGCCGGGAGTGGTAAGGGTGGGGGGAGGTTTGTTTGTAAAAAGAAAAGGGTTGCCAAATCCATTAGATCCCAAAGTTGATTTCAGTAAACTTTATGCTCCTGTTACTTTATCGCTTAATGGGACGAGTTGTTCTATAAGCGATTTAGCTCACTATATAATTGATGACGTTTTGTATATCAGCAATGTAAGGACAACAGAAATAATGTCTTTATCCGGTAGCGGCGAATGTCAAAATCATATAGAGATAATTTTAAAAGAAGGTGTTTCGACGGTCGGCTCTGAGATTAAAATGTATCGCACGATCGGTTATGCCGAAAGCGTCGAGTTCTACAGTCCGATATACGACACACCCGAAAAGATCGCCGACGAAAAACCCGATATCCGACGACGCTGTACTGGAACCCTTATCTGCAAATCGGCCCGGACGGCACCGCCCAAATCGAATTTTACTCAAACGATCATAAAAACCAGCAATACGATATCGCTATCGAAGGAATAACGCCCGACGGAAAAACATGCCGCTACCGAAAAGATATATCCGCCCGGTAAATACGACGGCGGCATTTTCTGTTTCCTACACGAATACGCAAGCGTCGATTCGCTGAAAACCGCGCAGCAGATCGGCTACGGGCATACGCTTTTTACCGGCCACCGCAGTTCGTCGAGAAAAACGTATCCGTCCGCACAGGCTACTTTCAGAAAGGTTTTTCTGTCGGAAAGGATCGTTCCGGGAGCGCACCCCGCTCCCGCATCCGGATCGGGATGAGCACGGTAATCTGACGGCAAGCGGAGCCGCATCGTCCCTGCGGAGTTCGCTCCATGCGACCGGATAGGGACTCAGTCCGCGGATCAGGTTAACACCGTCCGGCGGTCGGATTTCCAGTCGATCCGACAGGTGTCTTTGATATTTTCGGCGCCTCCCGGATTTCGGCAGGCGCTATGTCATCCTGTCCGACAGGTACGATGTCTCCCGCCGCGATCTTTCGACCGTCTCGACGACCAAATCCGTCCCCGCGACCATCAGTTTGTCATGCAAGGTTCCTGCGCACTCGTCCGGCCCGATCGGGACACGGCTCCGGCACAGGATATCTCCTTTGTCTATCTCGTGGTTCAGCATAAAGGTAGTGACGCCGCTCTCCGTCTCGCCGTTGATAATCGCCCAGTTGATCGGCGCGGCCCCCCGGTACTGCGGCAACAACGACGCATGCAGGTTAAACGTCCCCAGCGCAGGCATCGACCAAATAATCTCGGGCAGCATCCGGAAAGCGATCACGATTCCAGGTCGGGCCGCAACGCCCGGAACGTCTCGACGAACTGCGGATCTTTCAATTTTCGGGCTGCAAAACCGGCAACCCGACTTCCACGGCATACCGCTTGACGGCCGACTGCTGCAAATGTAGCCCGCGGCCTGCCGGTTTGTCGGGCATCGTCACGACGCCGACGACGTGATAACCCGTTTCCACCATCTCCGCAACGGGGCCACCGCAAAATCGGGGTACCCATATAACGATACGCAGTTTCTTGCTGTCCATATCTCTAATATCCCGTTAAGCTACGATCTCGATCCGGTTGCCGTCGGGGTCGCAAACGACGCTCTCGAAGTATCCGTCCCCGTCTGCCTCGGTTCGCCGGCGATCCGATACCCGTCCCGCCGCACCGTTCGGTCAGGCTGCACACCGCTTCGCGGCTGCCGACGCCGACGCGACGTGACAAAAGCCGGTATGCTCGCCTTCGTCCGAATCCCGGATATCCGTCCTCCGCATCAGTTCCAACGCGACGACGCCGTCGAAACGGACGAAAAAAGACTCGAATCCCTTGGCCGGATTACGGTATACGGGGCCGCTCTCCCCGTCGAAATAACGCACGTAAAAATCCCGCAGTTCTTCCAGACGGTTCGTCCAAAGCGCTATATGAGCAACAGCTATTCCCATTAGACCACAGCGTATTATCCGTTATTACTTAAACAATCCGAGCCGGTGCCCCATCACCTGCTCTTTGGTGCGAAGGTATTTTTCGTCGTACGGATTCGGAGCGATCACGATCGGAACATCTCGACGATTCGCAGGCCGTAGCCTTCCACCCGGCGCGTTTCTGCGGATTGTTGGTCATCAGCCGCATGTTCCGGATACCGATCTCGCGCAGAATGCTGGCTCCGACTCCGTAATCGCGCTCGTCGACCCCGAAACCCAGTTTGACATTGGCTTCGGCGGTATCGTACCCTTCTTCTGCAATTTATAGGCTTTCATTTTATTGAAAAAGCCGATTCCCCGGCCCTCCTGATTCAGATAGACGACTGCGCCTTTTCCTTCCTGCTCGACCATTTTCATCGCTTCGTGCAACTGGGCTCCGCAATCGCAGCGGCACGAACCGAAAATATCACCCGTCACGCACGAAGAATGCACGCGCACCAGCACCGGTTCGTCCGGCTCCCACTCCCCTTTGATCAAGGCCACATGATCCAGCCCGTTGCTCGTCTGGCGGAACGGGATCAGCTTGAAATGTCCCCATGCCGTCGGCATATCCACCATTTCGCCCCGCTCGACGATCGATTCGGTTTTCAGGCGGTAAGCGATGATATCGGCGATCGAAACGATCTTCAGGCCGAATTGCTGAGCGATTTTCCGCAAATCGCCCAGACGGGCCATCGTACCGTCTTCGTTCATGATCTCGATCAGCGCGCCGCCGGGAGTCAGTCCGGCCATCCGCCGTCAGGTCGATCACCGCTTCGGTATGACCCGGACGGCGGAGCACCCCTTTGTTACGCGCCCGAGCGGGAAATATGCCCCGGACGGCCCAGATCGGACGCCTTGGTGCAGGATCGACCAGCGCCCGCACCGTAGCCGCGCGGTCGGTCGCAGCCACGCCGGTCGTACAACCGTGTCCGAGCAAATCGACCGACACCGTGAAGGCGTACGAGCAGCGACGTATTGTTGGCAACCTGCATCTCCAGATCCAGTTCCCGACAGCGGTCTTCGGTCAACGGAGCGCACAACACGCCGCGGCCGTTGTGAAGCATGAAATTGACGATCTCCGGGGTGATCTTTTCGCCGGCGACGATAAAATCGCCTTCGTTCTCCCGATCCTCGTCATCGACCACGATGACGACTTTGCCGCGCGGATATCTTCGATCGCTTCGTCCACACTGCTGAGAATCTTTTCGTTGTTTTGTTCTTGTGACATGATATTTCGATTTTGTATTTTTAATTTCGGTTTTCGTACGGTTACCGGTTCTCCGGCTGCATACGCCGTTTTCGCGGGAATATCCGTTTAAAAAATCCGCGGATTCTCCGGTGTGGGCGAGGTACCTTCGGCGTTGAACAGGTTCGAATCGTTGTCGCTTTATAGGTCAGGTAGACGGAGATCGGCAACAGGATAAATGTGGCGATCCACATCCCGATAAAAGAGTTCCACGAGCCCTCGCGCGCCATCTTCTCGCCGGTGATCGTAATGATGTAATAGATTACGAAGAAACCGACCGATACGACGACCGGCATCCCCAGCCCTCCCTTACGGATGATCGCTCCCAAAGCGCTCCGATCAGGAAAAAGATCATGATCGAAACCGGCAGGGCCATTTTTTTAT